CTGATCACCTTTTTGTCATCCTTGTAAATAGAGACAGCCTCCAGAATGAGTGGCTCCATCACCTTTCCAGGGATTGATGTGAAGCTGACTGACTCATAGTTCCCTGGGTCCTCCTTCTTGCCCTTTTTGAAAACTGAGGTGACATTTCTTTTATTCCAGTCTTCAGGCACCGAACCCCACAACCTTCCAAAGACAATCGTGAACGGCCTAGTTATGCTGTCTACCAGCTCCCTCAGCACTCGTGGATGCATCCCATCAGGGCCCATGGATTGTGGATATAAGGTTTTCCTTGGTGTTCTATAACCCAGTCCTCCTTAACCAAGACAAAGTCTTCCTTCCAACATTCCTATAGCCTGGTCTCCTGGGCCAGAGATTCCTAGAGGCTGGTCTTGTCAGTGAAGACCAATGCAAAGATGGCCTTCAGCAGTAGCTGAAGCTGATGTTGCCACTGATGGAGTCAGATTCTGGCTAAGTCTGCTGATGCTGCCCTCCTCAAGCACCTGTTCTCCACGTGGAGCTGTAAAATTAAGTACTTTTTTAGAAATTGTTAGCCATAGAATTTATGTATTTTAGACTAAGCATTTTAGAAGGAGAGTGCTAGCCATAAAACCCATGTATTTTAGTAAGGTTGGAAGTTCTCAAGGGAAAGTGCATAGTTTATAATTTCTTGTGAAGATTCTTTACAGGCAAGAATTTTGATAAAAACAGAGATGGTTACTTGCACTTGTGAGGAGGCAGATAGAAAGCGAGAAAGACGATAAAACAGGTCCACGGGACTGGGTTTAGGCCTTGAACCAGTTCCAGAAGGCAGGAAGCCGTGCCAGAACCAAGGAGTCAAGAGAAGAACATAGCAAGAAAGACATTAATGCCCGGCATCAGGGGTTGCTTTATGACCTTTGAAGCAATTCAAGGGGGTGGGTGGAAAATGGGCTGGAACAGGTGAGATAATCCTTGAATCTGTAATTAGAGAGTTGTTTAAAGTTATGAAACTTGTGTGATTCGGGCTGCATACTTTGGGATTTTTTCTGATGCACCTGGCGCTGAAATAAATGTGTGTGCTTTTTGCCGACGGCCTGGCATCGGAGCACGAATCTGCAATTGCCAGCTGAGGCACGGTGCTTTGTGCAGATGCACAGGGATACGTTCCCTACTGCTGGCATTGCTGTGGGTGTTGCTGCTGGCAAGGGGTGCAGAAGGGCACAGGACCCGTCATCTCCTCTCCTGCAACGGAACTGGCCAGATGGTCCCTGCCCGCTGACACGCTGCACACACACTCACCACTGCAGTGCAGAATCTCCTCAGAAAGCAAGAACAGTCTGATAAAAGGCTCTACTTTAACCCTGCTGAATAGATTCAAGAAGTTACACATTTGTTTTGATTTGAAAGGAGATAAAAAAAAAGCTAAAAACAGAGTATAACTTGCAAAAGCATCCTGGAAGGATTTCTGCTGCCATTCAAGTTGTGCAACATATTCAACTGGAGAGACTTATTTCCATGCAAGCAGCTTGGCATGAAATCCCACCGAAAGGCCTGTGGTTCCCTAATGCTGTCATGACGTCATGATTTAGGATTTTTAGAGCTATCAACCCAGCACAGCTGGTGTCATGGTTGCAATTATACCATGAAACACTGAGGGGTTTTAAATGAAAAAGGTTTCCCTGTTCGGAATTCTTAGATTTCTTCCATGTTATTCTGTGGATTCTTAAAGCCAGACCAGTTCTGTAAGCAGAGCATAGCTGACATTTAAGCAGAGCAGGAAACAGTGCTGCTTTAACTGAAAATAAATCTGTCAACAAGGAGGCACAGGGAGAGCTCCACTTCAGACTTTTCAGGTTCTTATTAAAAAATATAAATTAAAGTCAACATTTTCACATTATTTGCTACATCTGTTTGCTATTCCATTATAAATAAAAATACAGGGGGCTCTAATTCAGTGTTAGTTCACTCAACAAAATCGAAAAGTCCTTTTCATTTAATACTGCATTATAATTGTTCTAGATTGTACTGTATTACCAGAGGAGGCCCACAAGAAATAAGCTATGCATTACCCAAAGTCAAGACGGACAACTAAAAAGACCTTTGTCAGTTCTTCCCTTTCTAAAGGATGAAGGACAGCAAGGTTATGGAAGCACATCCCTATTGTAGGAACCTTGCTGACTGTCACAAGCAGATCCATCTCTCCAGTCTTTGCAGAAAGAGCTGAGAAACAAAAAAACCCACAGACTCACTCCTATCTCCGGGGGTCAGGGCAGATGAGCAGAGTTCAGTGCCACACCAGCTTTAAAGGAAATATGGCAAAGATTTAAACAACTTCCCTGTCACCCTATGTTCCTGCCAACCATTCTGCAGCATGTTTTACCTGGGACAGTAGAACCCCAAAGCCCTTCAAGCAACAAAGAGACTGATACCCATTTTCTTAAACAAAAGCTTTATTAAACTCCCTGTTGGAGAACAAGAGCTTCCTGAGTGCACAGGAAATCCACCACACTCCTGCAGTGTGCACTAGGTCTGGTCTGGTGAAGTGCAGTTCCCATTGCCATCACATTTCAAGAGTAGTTGGCGAACAGCAATTGCTCTTGGGAGTAAGAATTGCTGGCAAGTGCTCAGCTCCTTTGAAAATCGTCTCTCGGGCAGTCTACAGTGCTCACCTACCTGGTGATAACTTCGGCTTCAGTGTTTTAAGAGATGTGTAGGTCTTGACAGGTCTACCACATGCATAATTGTATATTAAGACTTTTGGACACAAGAGCAGAACCCACCCACTTGACAGCACAAGTAGTATTAAGTTTTGTAGCCCCAAGAATGAGGCCAAATTAAAGGTGACTGCAGACAGCTTAACATCTCAGGGCAAGTGCTCTGGAGCCAGGAAGGCTGTTCCGGCCACACAGAGAGAAGGGAAACATATGCACGTACTCAGGACACAGAGATCACTTTGATGGATCTGAGCAGGCCTGTGCTGAAGAGGTTGCAGCCAATATCCCAAAAGCAGCACAGCAATGATGGCTTACTATTTGCATGCAGTGCCCAGCTGCAGCAGCCTCTGGCAGTGTGGTGCCAGGGGCAGCCAAGGCACACCAGCTCCCTTAAGCTTCTGCCCAGGATCACATCCAGGCAGGGCAGTCGGGGACTTCAGACCTCCCAAAGCATGGCACAGGCTTTCCTCCTGCTTCATTCAGCAAGCCTTGGAAATCACCTGCAGCTTGTGTCTAGAGATGGGAGTTTAATTCCTGTGCCCTGAAACCAGCAAAAGGCATGTCCCACTACCCCAATCCAAATTTCCAGACCAAACCATATGACAGTATGAAGAGTTAGGAGGTCTCATGCCAGGAAGTGATGTAAAGTTGTGACATTCCACCTGTGTGACACTTTCGATCCTCCACCCCCAAGTTTTCCACTATAAAAGCACAACAGGTTTTAGGAGTGAGAAGTCAGAGCACGTACCAGGACAAAGGAAGCTGTGTCTTTACAGAATTTGCATCTTCATTCATAAAACCACAACACCCTTCATGTCTTCAGCTGAGACCCTCATGTCCACTCCCCGCTCTAACCCAAAACCATCAGAAAAGAGTCTGAGCAAAGAGAACAGTCTCATTATGGGAAAAACTCGGGCTGACAAGTCACCAAAGAAAATAAGTCAGCACAGCTCTACTCTCTCTAAAATCAGTCTCATCACAAGGTGGGCAAACATAGGTCATCTAATCTTGGCAACCTCAGATTTTCAGTGGCATAGATGAAATATCACGATCTGAGAACAAAGGCACCATGTGAAGGCCTGCATGTCCATGCTAGGGTCTCTTGCAGAAGCAAGGGAAGGAAGCCTTTAATTTCATTTCTTTCACTTGCCCTACTTTTCCTCTGCCCCTGCTACTAATGACTGGAGTTAGTTGTTAGACGTGTTGGTTAAATGTCCCAGGCACATCCCTGTGACACTGGAGTCCTGTATAAACTCCAGTCTTAAGAGACTTGTCTTCTGAAAAGCAGTTCTGTAATCACAAACACAAGGAGGAAAAACAAAACAGGAGAAACTGCCTTGAGGACATGGGTAAGGTTAAAGAGACTGCCTGACTGCTGCTGTTGCAAGAGAAGCATTTGGGTGAAAAAAAAATGGTGGCTGAATCTTAACCAAGACAAACAAAAGGAGGAAAGCTTGGGTGAGCAAACTGGGGCCTTTGCTGCAACATTCGTCAAGGACATTTACCCTGCAACTATGAAACAATGCATAGAGAGTTTCAATAAACAGCAACAGCAGAAACTTTGTGGCATTTCTGGCTGGATAAAAGGCCATGTTCACAGCCCTGAGATCATGTCTGCTTAGCTACTGCTACTCACTTTAACTGGAGTTAGGAAGCAAGGTCAATTAAAGAAAGACAAGGGTAAGATTAGCTCACGCTGCCTGCTTGGTCTAAAACAAAATGTCTGCTAGAAACCATCCATACCAAGAAGCTAAGATAATAATTTAATTACTGGAGAAAAGACAGTCAAATAATTAGAATTTTAGGCTTCTAATACACAAATTGGCACTTTATACAGCAGCCACTGGGGTGGCAGCCTGCTGACAGTAACACTGCTGCGCCAGCAATAGCAAAAATGCCCTTACAGCAGTTTTCCAGAGGAAGGCATTTAACATGCACAGGGAGGGGTCAGGATTTAGGCGTATGACCATAACAGACTACCAAGAGTGAAAAACACAACAAGACAGACAGTTAAAAGAAAATTTCCCAACCAGCTAAAAGAAATAAAAAAAAACCTCTAACAAAAAAACACTCGACTTAACACTGAAAAGAAATATATTGCATACAAAGCCTGCAGAGGGGAACATAGAAATTCTTCCACATAGAAGAACAGGCAAACCTCATCCTTTGTGAGACCAGGGCTGGGCTATTCTCAGCAGAAAACCAGCTGTTCAAATAATATGAACAGCAGGACAGGGTTTTACCTACATGGCCCCAAAATGCAACACAAAACACAACATGCAGCTACAGAACTTGAATGGCACTTACTCATGTACCCTGTTGTCTCCATACAAGTCACTTAACCCAAAGCTGACGTAGTGCCAATGCTCAGGAACATTCAGTGCTGGATTTCCCAGGTTTCTGTACATGCTAACATAGTCCAGAGGGTCAGGTCCTCCCAACCTGCATTAAAAACAGAAAGATTACTAGGTAAGTTAGTTTATTCAAGACAAATAGCAAGTCTCCACAGGTGCTACAAGAGGTTGTACAAAGACCTGGTTTTAAACACAGCTAGTGACAAAAATTAAATTAGCATGCTCTAGTTACCTCCAAAAAAAAAAAATAATTGAGGAGAAAGGTTGGGTTAAGTCCAGAATGATTCAAGCACAGGAAGGCAAAGCGCATGTGTGCAACATACTACAATGTTTTAAAAGTTAAAGCATAAAAACCTCTGGAAAAATCATATTAAAGCTTCTACAAAACACAAAGAAAATTGGAAAACTGTACTAGTAAAGAGCAATAGCTGTATCTGCATTGCAACCTCTTAATTCAGTCCAGAGGCACATACCTCAAAAAAAAGTGATGCTATTCCTCAAAGTAGAATTTGAAAGGGCTAAGTTTTGAGGAGAGTACTCCATACTTCTGAACACAGAGAAAGAAGTTAAAAGAGTGGAGGAGAAAAACATTGATTCAGAAGAATTAGCACCATAACTTGTAAAATACACCACTTGCATTAATCAAGGAGTAAAGAGCATCACTGCATCCCCTGCTTCAACACTAGGATGTGTTCCTTAAAATAACATTACTTAAAAGTCAATGCAGTACAGCCAGGTCATGTTAAGCAGTAATCACCACAACCTGCATCCACCCTTCCTGTTACAAGGCACAGGGAAGCGAGGCCAGTGTGTCAGCAGAGAGCATGGCATGCTCCTCCTGCCACTCCTGTCACATCTGCCCGTTCAAGGCAGGACAACTCCCCACTGAGGGAAGGATCACACCACACTGTTTTGCTTGCAGTTCACTCTGTCAGTCATAAAACACCTACCACAAGCAGTTACTGAACGGTGTGAGCAGCTGTTTAACTGTTTCCTGACTACAGTTCACTTTGTTCTCAAGTAAAACTCTCAACTGCTCCAAATAAGAAAATCCAAATTAAGATGACCCCCCTTCATTGAAACCATACTGATTCCCCTCATCTGCATTGTCTGTTCAGACCCTGACACAATCATCCGCAGGTTGCAGGGCAGCCTGTGCTTCCTTTGCTAGCCCTGGGGGTTTGTGTATCACCATCAGGCAGTCTCTGTGGCTAGACAGATGGATCCAGCCCTAGTGCAGAGAGACACACTATTTGAAATCCTCTGCCACCTTCTTTTGCCTAACCTTATCAAGACTGTCCGAAGTAGCATATCAGCCTGTTATATTAAAGGCTCTTTCCACGGGTGGGCTGTGCTGCCTCCCTCCTACTGCTGCAGGAAAAAAAAGCAGAGTCTTTATCTAACAAGTGACTTTCCCTAGGACAGCTTCCACCCTCTGAAGTCACGTAAGGCCACCACGGTGGCTCCAGACCAGTTCCAGTTTCCCCAGCAGGTCAGTCAAGGATGCATCCCAGGATACTGGGGCAGGACAGAGGGGATGAGTAGCCCACCCCCAGTAATGGCACAGAAGTCCATTGGTGAGGGCTACATCACAACTATGCAGCCTTCTTGTATGACAAGAAGCATCTTCATGGAGTAAAAGGCAAACTGGTGAGCAAGGCCAGGGAATGCAAGTTAGAACCCGGGATGGAACAAAGTCTGATTCTCAGTAGCCACCTGGGAAACACTCATTCTCAAAATCTAGCAATAGTATGAAACACTCAGGAAAAAACAAGTCCCCTCTGACACACCCATTCCCCACTTGTTCCCTCTTGCCAGCACAAGGTTGCAGCGGAGGCTGGGATCTCTACCGCAAACACCCATTCAGGTGGTTCTGTTCAGAGTGTGGCACCAATGCCCTCGCCAGTACTCAGGCTCCCAGGGATCCATGATGGAAGTAGCCAAATGGAAGAAATTCCGGTCAGGACAATCACTCACTCCCAAGGAGTGGCAGTGAACAGCAGCAGCCACACACAATTACCACCCTGACTGGGAAGACTCCAGAGCAAGGGAGATCCATACACTGACCAGCAAACCAGTGTGAGAGATTAGTGAGTGGTCAGAGCAGTTGTGTAGGATTTGCAATGAAGGGACCACCTGATAAACAACCAGCACCTCCCACATGCAGAAAACCTGCTTCCAAACTGGGTTTAGTAACACCTTTAGATGTCAAACGATCCGTTCTGGAACACTGCTGACACAGGCACTCTGACATGGACAGCACACAAGACAAACCCTTACACTGCCCTTTTTCAGGACAGGGACTGTTCCACGAGTACATGCTTTTCCCTAGGCCTACTCAAAGGTATTTGGTCAGGTCTGATACAGATGGAAAGTCCTGCCTAGACTGCACCAGGTGAGGCAGACACCTCTCTCACTTCCATCAGCAGCCCTGTGTTTCCTTCCAAAGGCCAAACCTCTCTGGGCTATCCAGGAGGTGACCACAGCGATGCAGCACCAGCCTGCTCAGGGGAGTCAAATTCTGTCCTGTCCAGAGCAGACCCGGACAGAGTTCACTACCCACTGATTTACATGCTGCTCGATGACCCAAGCAGACTGCCTTTACTTCCTGAGAAATCTGGTAGGCTTGGAAGAGAGGTAAACAAAAAGCCTGCAATGGTGGTGACTAATTAAATTTTGAAAAACACATATCCAAGCCATATACCTATCCCAGAACCACTGCAACTGCAGGAGCATCCAGCAGGAGCTTTAAGCCAGCTACCTGGAGCACAGCTAGTAGTGTACCCAAGGCTCACCAAAGGTTAGTCAGCACAGATATTCATCCAGTTTCGGTGGCAGGTTTCACTGCTCCAAGGTTGGGCGCCACTGATGCCTATTGTGGTACATCCTCCCACCCACGGCTGCCGTGGCAGGGTTCGACCTTGAATCACAATCTACATATCAGTACATGGTTCACACAAAGAGCTGGAAGCGTTGGAGGATTTTATTAGGAAGAGCTGAACTTCAAAGCCAGAGGTACAGTACAAATTTGTTACATTCTCTATTCATGGAGCTCATTCACAAACAAGAAGGGCAGCCTCGGGGGAAACCCCCGGATTTGCATCTGCACCAAGAGTCTTCTTTTGACTGACGTTTAGAGCGCTCTGAAGTTTCTGTGGAAGTAGAAATGCAAAGCGGGCAGAGGAAATAGATCCACAATGGGAAAAAATTCAAAAATTCCCAGTTCATTCACCCCCGAGAAGTCCTCAATGCATGGTTCATAGTCACTTCCCAGCAGGTGACAACAGGACTGCTTTTCACAGCTACCTTTTGATAACCCTTCAGAAGTAATCCACAATCCCCAAGTGGCTGCAGACCACAGGTCAGTGCACTGTTTTTTGAATATATGGCCTAAATTCAAGACAGGTGATGAAAAACCAACAGTCCAGCCCAAAGTATGCCTGTTTCAAAACCTGTCACAAAGGAAAGTACATATTTGCTTGTTTCAGCAGCAATTCTATGCAACAAGATATTTCACTTAAAGATACTCAACCATGTTTTATAATAAAAGCGGACACTGGACATCAATAGAGAAAAACTTCATCTCAGCACATGGCCTTTATAAACACAGCCAGAAACTCTTCAAAAAGATTGAATCACAAACTCTCTCCCAAGATATGCAAACAGCATTTAGAAAAAAGACTAGTTCCATTAAATAACTCACATGGCTAAACTCCTCCATGTAATAGGCATGGAGTTCTGCAGATTCTCCAACATTAAGGATCTGCTCTGACACGCAAGCTGAGGACTATGATTTCAGCTACCAGAACAAAAAAAAAAACACCTCTGTTAACCATAGAGAAACTGATACATATAATTAAAAGCTGATTTAGTGTTACAATATTTCTCCTAAGGCAGGGAACTTAGTTCAGCAATTTCCTCTTTTAATCTAAACCAGCTAATAGCTGGCAGCTCGGGCAGAGGAGGACAGATTAGCAGAGAGTGAGCTGTGGCAGAAGTCATTTTACCAGACTTCACAAAACCAAGCTCCAAGTTTCACCTTACAAAGGAAGAGAAAGTATGTGCAGTGTCCACATAGGCTTCACCTTGCACAAGAATTTCCTGCACAGGATAGCAGTAAGAATCTCACCTCTGGTTTCTACAAGCAAAGCTCTCGGCTCTTGCTGCTGAGTTGACAGTCGGAAGAACCACTACGTGGAAAGTGCCAGGATAAACAGGCCTTCACATTACTTCTTACTTGCAACCTGCCATTACTGCCAATAGCAGTTTTTCCAGTGTTTGAGCTCCAATTGAAGTGAAATCCTAATCAATCCCTTAAGCAAACAAGCACCAATGTTTCTTCCCAAACAAGGGTCTCTGCCATTTTTCAATATATACCTAAATTTCCCTCAACCCCCACAAATCTTACATCACTCTAGTCAGTGTTGTTTTAAGCTGTTGACAGGAAAGAAGTGCTGACTCCCAAATCGAGATGACTGGAAACTCCTCAGGACTGAATATCTGAGATTAGAAATGGGTATAAAAACAGACTGATCAGACCATCACCAAAGTACTGATGCACACAATCAGGAAATTATTTGTATTTTGAAGTCTCAGATTTGCAACATCTCAGCCCATTGTGTCAGTTTAAGTACAATCCCCCCCCCAAGCAATAAGGGCTAAGAGTACTGTGAAAACCAACAGCAATAGCTTGTGTGTCAAAGCAGCATCAGGGAGGATGTTATTCTGCTGTTCCTCAGGAATCTAACCAGAGTTAAAATGAACTGTAAATAAAGAAGCTGAGCATTGACTAAAGTTTTTCCAAGTGGTGGAGTAGGGACTGGTCAATGTCAGGTACAGCAAACTCTCGGGGGTGACTTTATCGCACTCCTTAGGCCCAGAAGAGGCGGTTGAGCAGCAAAGTGATAGTAAAAAGCAAAAGGAACTCCTCTTCACATGAGGTTAGATGCTAGACACTTACTCCATAGCTAAACATCCGAGTGCTTCCTTCATGCCACTCTCCCACATAAACAAAGGCTGTTCCCGGTGTCAGACACTGTGTCAGCAGACACTGAGCAGCAGATTCACAGTCTGCGATAACACATGGCTATGCAAGGCCAAGAGGAGCTGGCACTGCCCCGTGGGCTTTACGGGTATGCACAGCGTGTGTCCGGCCTGGGGCCGGAATGCGGGATCACTCCGGTCAGTGCCGGCCACACTGGAACCCCAAGCTCCCGGATACAAGATAGAGCTCGTGGCTCCTGTCCAGAAGGGGAAACTCCAGCCCCTCACCCTCTGTGGGAATCCTCCAACGAGTAACACACACTCCCCTTTTGTACGACCTGCCCCAGCCACGGCCTTCATCAGCCACCTCTCATTCATGGACCCTTCAAATCACCCCAGAAGCCCCAATACACCCTCCTGTCTTCACTGCAACCCTCCCTACAGCCTTCCCCCCTATTGCCAGTGTATCCTCCCTAGGACGCCCCCAAACACACCGCCTGGACACCCAATGCATTCCCAACGCCTCCATCCCATCCCGGCCACAAGAGTATCTCACCCCAAACTCTGGGCACAGCTCGCGGTCCCTCTCCCCTTGCTAGGACCCTATCCAGCCCTGCGGCCTCACTCCCTGCAACGTCCCCAGCCCCACTGCTGCTCCCAACCCCACTGCTCCTCCCAAACCCTCTCCTATCCCACACAAGGCGCCGGCCCCACCGCTTCCCCCAGCTCCACGCGAGACCCCGGCCCCATCCAGGCCGCCTCACCAGTACTTGAGGATGGCGGTGACCTGGAGCGGGTTGGGCTGGTCGGGGTAGAGGCGGCGGCACTCGCCGTAGATACCGTGCAGCCCCGGCGGGAACAGAGACGGGAAGGACCCGGACGCGGAGCCAGAGCCGGACCCCGGCCCACCCGCGGGGGGCCCCCCGCCCTGCCGCACGCCCTCCATGTCCTGGAGACGACTGGTCCCGGCGGATCCCGGCTGGTCCCGACCCCGCTCTGCTCCCGCCCGGCGCTCCCGGCCCGGCCCGGCCCGGCCCG